GGTGTTTAGATAAAAAACAATAACGATATGAAACAAAGCTGAAGTTTAGGCTTCTGAAACCAGGTTTGGGGAAAAAATTACAAAAGGTTGTATTAGGTTAACCTAGGTTATATTAGGTTTAGGTTACGAGCTTCGTAGATTAGGTTAGGTTTAGGTTGTGAACATTTTTATAGGTTAGGTTATAGGTCGTCAAAAAGTCGTAACCTGCAGGACTCTATGCACAACATGATACTTTTGATGAACTTGTAATATATCTTTTAAAATTAAAAATAAAACCGAAATGGGTACAACTGATTGTCATAAATAGTTTTTTAACACATTTGCTGTCAAATCTAATATATAATTGACTACTTTTGTATGGTACCATACCTGTTGTATAAATAGATTTCAATGTTTGACATTAAGTGAAGTTTTGACTTCTGATAAATCGTGTGACAAATGTCACTTATTTTGTTGATAAAATCAAAGAAGAAATGAAATAACCAATGATAGACTATGACTTCTGCATAATGAATATGAAATGGTATTGTTGACTTTATTTATTTAAGAATCCTATCTATTCACTGGCTACGTATTTTCGAGTAAACAAAGGCAATAGTCAGTTTAGTAATTATAATCGTAGTAAAAATTGAGAGATATTGAGACTGAAGTCATTCGTGAAATAGCTATCAGTAGTTCTTCACCTGAATAGAATGAAAAATGATTAAATTGGTAGTATACTGTTCACAGTATCAACAGAATCTTTCAATACGATCAAGGCTAATAAGCCTACAGGATCATTTCTAAAATTTAACCTTTAGAGCCTAGGATATCTTAGACAATTAGTCATACAACTGTATATCAGTTACAATGCACAGCGTTTAACTAATATCTAATCGAGTATTACGCTATTCTGCAAGTCTGTAGTCATCTTAACAAGAAGAAGTTTTAAGCCATACTAGAAAACAGAAATAATTATGATAATACAATATTGATTATTATTCTTGACCAGGGTCCATTCTGAAAAATAAATATAAAAGTTCATTAGTCTTGGATCAATTGTTCAGCAAAACAAATTTTCAAAATCTATTATCTTTTGTAGTGTTTTTAAACAAATTTTCATGATGCTCTACTTTTTATGCTTTGAGTTTTTTCTCCATCAATTGATTGGATATATACATGTTGTTATTCGTATCATCTTGGTTTTATTTCCGATAGTTGATAGCAATTCGGATAAAAAAATAACAAAGAGAAAGTAGAGACGGGTTTTCAATCCAATTCCGTTGTTAAACAACGATTTTTTACATAGTAGTCGTCAAACGATTGCTAAATTCCATCATCCGGGTCACGGGTAGATAGATGTGCGATATTTTCATGTATGAGTAAGCAAGAAAGCAGCAACTATTGTTTAATTGTCTAAACAAATTGAGATACTGGAACGACAACATGATTAGTAATATAGTATAATTTCAATATATTCAGCTAGTTGATACTGTATTAAAAAAAGGCAGAGTCAATTCCAGTCAGTATTGTTAGTTGTGTTAATGTAAATTATTCTTTGCATATAGAATTAATTGTTTAATCTCTTTGTTTATTTACTATACGTAGAAAAAGCCTTGGTCAACAGTTACGTCATCAAATTAATTAATCATTACTATTGTCAGTACTATTCAAATTAGCGCACTCTTTTTTCAATTTATAATTTTTAAAAATGGAGAACAAGAAACTATTAAAATGAAAAAAGGTTTAAAAATAAATCTTTTATAATGAAACGGAAGAAAAAAAAGAAGAAAAAAATTTATTGCTATATTTCATTTAATTTACAACAAAAATTTCATCAGTTAAATCAGAAGAAAAACATGTCAGTTTAGTAAAATATGTTTATAATCTATGCTTTGTCAAATTTACAAATTCGTGTTGTTGTTATCGTTATTTAACATGCAATGTTTTTTTTATTTTTTAAAGCAATCGACACTGTACGTTTTACGGATTTTTCTCTATCATTACATGAATAATACCCCATTTGTTCCCGTATAGGTAAATTTAAATCGTTCTTTTCTTTCTTCGTTGATTTTTTCTTTTTCTTTTTGTATATTCAAATAAAACAAGAAAAGTTACAAAAATGACAAATTTAGTTAAATTTGTTTCTAAGGAACTTTTCTTGTTCAATTCAGCATGCATTTTATATGACCATTAATCATTTTAGTTAGTAAAACAGATTTTTTATTTAACAACGAAAAACTTGGGTAGGATGTTATTAAAAAATAGCGAGATTTATAGCAGATACAGATACGAAATATTTTTAAATTCATTTATATTCAGTCGTCTAAAAAGTATATCAGATCTTTCTTTATCAGTAATAGAAGTTGATGAATGTTATATGAGTAACATGTATATACTCGTTGAACGTAGCACAGGAAATCAGGAAATCTGTTATTTTTTTTCTTTTCAACCATTTTTTCTTTGGTCAGCTGTATGTGAATGAATTCTGACTCACATGAAAATTTGTTTCGCTTTTTCTTTCTCTCATACTGAACAAAAACAAGGCGTAGTAGTGTAAACTAAAGTCAATATTAAATGAAGAAAAAGCGATGTTTTTTTTTAAATAACAGTCTGATTTGTAACAATCAGTGCATTTTAACAAATATTCGATTTCTTTCGTTCTTTTTTTTTCTCCATCTTTTTTTCATTAGAGTGCGAACATCTCGTTGTTATTTGTTATACAAATTTGATGACATTCATAACATAAATGATCGCAGCATCGTTCAACAGACAATAATAAAGTTTAACTTAACTCAATATGTCGGACGATCGAGCAAAATCGAGGAGGAAACGTCGTCAACCTACAGCAGGTATGAGAACAAAGGAAAACTAAGTATTATTCTAACTATGACGAGGATTAGAATATTCTAGACTGGTAGTCATTTGTGTTACTTGACGATACAGTTTCTCGGTCATTGACCTCAGTGCGTAGTTTTTCGAAACTGGTTTTGAGCTTCCTGTGGAACGGAACCGGTGGAAAAATTAGTTGGGCTACTAGGTTCAGAGCAAGAAAAAATTATACGGTGTAGAGACAAGTTGCAAAAAAGATTGTCCCTGTAAGTTTTGTCGAGTTCTTTCTCTTTGATTGTGAATTAGTGAGTAGATATGAAACATATCTCAAACATATTTACTAATTATGCATTTTTAAATAGATTAGGCCTAACTTTTATCATGAAGGTTTTTCAAAAAGGAAGCTGGGAGTTTTAAGGCAACTGTATAAGCTTTATTCTGTCAGAACACAAGGGGAAAGATACTCCATTATAGTATTCTATTAGAATACTATAATGGATAGTTTTACCTTAAGCTAAAACTATCGAAAAACATAAAATTAATTTTCCACTAATAGAGATTCGAACAAATGAACTTAGCTTTACAGTAAACTGCGCAACTAAATTCATTGTTCTGTGTCTATATTCTGTACAACGATTAAAGTTGTGTAGTCGACTCGATGTTATCAGTAGTATTTTTTTTGGTACGTTTTTTGTGTTCTGTTTGATATAAGCTTTATTCTGTCAGAATACAAGTGGAAAGATATTTAAGGCAGATACTAAGTAGAAGTTCGATTCACACAACGATGCTATCAATCGTGTGGCCTGCAGCTCTCATTTAAACACATAAGTGTCTCCTGTGGTAGTTGCGATTTATCTCAGCCGAAAAAATTCGAAAAATTACGAAGAAGTAAGACGGGACAGTATTTTCGTTCACTAGTTCAAGCTTACGATATGGTACAAAAATTATTTCGTTCGAAATAGGACTCAAGGCAAAATAAAAAAGTTTACCCAGCAGGACTCTTTATTAGGAGAAATAATTCAAAGAAAAAGTTTGCTTACATGTTGCATCAAAAACATCGTAAGCCAGTCGTACAAGAACATTATAAATCATCCAGTTTTAGAAGAAAAGATTCAAACAAACATGATAACTTACGAGTTCAGATCATCTTAAGCATCTTATGGAGGAAATAAAAGTCTTAAATTTCATTTATAATTTAAAAACTACGGTCTTGTTATTGTTAATGTGAAAAAGAAATCATTTCAACTGTTTCTTTTTGTTTTTAGAGAGTGTGAAACAAGCATTTGAAAATCCAGACGAGCCAGAAGAAATCGATGCGCCATTGAATCAATCAATAGAAACTGAACAAGAGCCATTACATGATAGAGCATTTTTTACTATTAATAATACTACCGTGGAAGTTGAACTTGAAGATAACGTTCTAACATGGTCTAGTTTAAATGGCGAAAGTAACTAATGTTTTTATTCTTTTCATCAGTATTACTACTATATGCTGTTAAATTTTTACATTTAGTTGGTTCAAAAGAAGACTCAATACGTCCATCTAGTTCATCTAAAAATCGTCGTTCAACAAAACATACGACTCATTCATTGAATTTACGTGATATCTACGCCGTAACACCAGGTATAGTTTTAAAGTAAAAAATTCAATATAATATCAAAAATCATTTAGACGTGGTGAACTAATACAATAATATTATTTATTTAACAATATTTATTAATCATACAAATAATTCAACTAATAATATATTTGTTTTTAAGTTTATGCTCGTTGGAATTGGACAACAAATGTTGGTGAAAATGGGTCAACTGTGTCCAGTACACCTCCTGTTCAAAATCTTCAATTGAGAGGATTTCAGTTACATGCATACGAAGAAATAAAAAAAAATATTTTACAAGAAATTGTTATTATGTTTCAAACAAGTCTTCCGAATCAAATTGAAAAATGGTATCATACATTAGACAAACTTGTACGCACATGTATGTGAGGCAATGCTATATGTTATCATACATACTAAATTTGTCTAATTCCTTTTTTTTATTAGATTATCCGCCACGTAACGTTCTTGTTTTGTGTAATCCGTACTCGGGACCAAGAAATGGTCGATATGTATACAATGCAAAAATAAAACCAGTTTTAGAAACTGCTCAATACAACGTTACTTATATAGGTATATGAAAACTGTTAACACTAGTTCACCAAGAAAAAACTGTATTTCATATCTTTTAGAAATTAGCGATACATGTAAACCTGCCCAAGCAATCACTCAACACGAAGGCGATTTTACTAATCTTTACGGGTTAGTAAGTGATGTTTTATTGAAGGAGATAGATGATCATTTTTTTTTACTCAACTTTACATGTAAATAGTCCTAACCGTCAAATGTTCGAAAATGTTTATTTTATTAGTTTAGTTATTATCGGTGGTGATGGATCGGTTATAGATACTTTGAATGCAATTACACGATATTTAGCCAAAGCCAATCGTATTCAATTAGATATTGATCAAGAACCACCACCATTGCCATTTCCATTATGTATCATACCGAATGGTAAAACATAAAAGAGCCCTAAATTCATTATTTATCTATTCTCTATCATATCTAGGTACAACAAACATTATCTGCCATTCAATTCATGGCGGAATTGATCAAGCGACACCTTTGTTCCACTTGTTATTTAGTAAGTAAATACAAAATCTTTATTTAACTCTCTCATCTAGATATTCTCATCTTTAGATCGCCGAATGAAAATTGATTTATCGGTTGTTTATGAAAATAATTCGTTTCTCACCTTTAATATGGTAAGTGTACTCATATACCGATAGCATGTCTTGGGATACCCTGTCTCCATAAATCATACATTTATGAAACTTGAATGTTGAATTTATTAATCCAGAAGTTACATAAAAATAAAAAATTGTATGAAACTTGTAAAAAGTTTAATATGGCTCTCAGAGAAATATTTTCTTAATTAATTTGTTGTTAATTAAATTGGTTTAATTGATCAATTAAGGTAACTGCATATGTCTCTAAGAGGATTGTTACAGTAGTATATTAGTATAAGTCTCATAATGACATATGCTGAACAGTAGGAATGATGATCTACAATACCACAAGTTCTTCAGTTGCGATCCGACGTAATATATCAATCCAACAATGCCTGACATTAGTTTGAGTGAGTAAGAAAAATTATTCTCTCTCTCTACCATTTACATTAGCACACAAAAAGATTCTTATTCGGAGAAGAACGTGACTATGTGTCTTACTATTTAGCATCACTAAATCCCATTTTTCACGGGCTTTCATTTGGTATAAAATTCATCATATCTCCGATTTA